TCCCAAATAAATAAATCTCTAAAAAAAAAATTTAAGGGATGCCTGGGTGGCTTGGTCGGTGAAGCATCTGCCTTTGGCTCAGGTCACAATCCCAGGGTCCTGGGATTGAGTCCCGGGACACATTCTGGCTTCTTGCTCAGCGGGGATCCTGCTTCTCCCTCTGCCTGCTGCTTCCCCTGCTTGTGCTCTCTCTCTCTCTCTCTCTCTCTTTCTGGCAAATATAAATAAATAAAATCTTTAAAAAAATTAAAATATAAGCCCCTGTACATCTGAACCTTACATAACACTGTATGTTAACTACACTGGAATTAAAATTAAAAAAAAAAAAGCCCTTGATAAAAGCCAAAGACTTGTTATTAAAAAGTAATTGGAAGGTGAACAGAGCTAATGTGGTCCACTCTGATAGGTCTTAGAATATCTTGCCCACAAATGGTTAGGCCTTAGACTTCAAACCTGACGACCCCCTTAATAAGCTTCCAGTGTAGTTTTCTCTGGATTCTCTCTTCTCTTATCAGCCAGTAGAAGAGAAGGATCAAGAAGAAGCTTGCGTGCACTGAGGGAACACGGATCCATCAGAGGGCAGAAACTTGGCTCCCTGAAGGACTATGGGGGCGGAGGGTAGCCCTCTGTCTACCTCTCTATCTCCTGCAAACCTCGGTGCTGAGAGTAAGAAATAAACTTTTAATTTGTTAGAACCCTAAGTTTTGTTGGGTTTTAGAGCAGTAGTTATTTTACCCTAATACAGATATGAAATAATGTTCTAACTTCTAGATCTGAGTCCGTTTTAAATGCTGGCATCATGATTGTCAAAATCCATTGTCCATATTCATAATCATTTATTTTCACAGACGTCCTTTCCAGCTTAAATCTCATGATTTGAGGATTACTGTATTGCTGCCTTCCATCTGAGAGATGCCTCTTGGAGCCCTTCTTGCTCCAACACCCTGATGTATTTTATAATGTACAAAGCCCTATTTCATGCAGTGTCTCTCTCTATTCTCCCAGCAAATCCGAGGAATATTCAAGGGTCTGTTACTGTCCCATTTTGCAGGTGATGACACTAAGGTTAAGTATAAAGCAAAAAAAAAAAAAAAAAAGTGAGACAGCTAATGTACAGAGTTCTTTGAAGATTAAGCAAGAGAATAATTTAGTCTACCGGGCATCTGGTACACATTAAGACAGTTCTTATTTTCTTCCTAACTCTCTGGTAAGTTATGTATTGCTCTGTAACAAACCACCCCAAAAGAATGACTTAAAACAGTAACAATCATTGATACTGCTCCCAGAGCCTGGGCTGTGAAAACACGAGTAGCTGGGGTGGGGGTGGGGCGTGGGGCTGGAACAGCTGGCTTCCTTGGGCTTCTTTCTTTCTGTGGTCTTTCTACATGGTCTCTCCACATGGCAGCCCCAGGGTAACCATGGCAGCTGAAGGCAGAGGGAGTGAGACAGTAGAGGGAGAAAGAGAGAGCCAGAGTGAGTTACAGAGAAGGAGAGGGTGAGGCAGAAGCTCGTAAAGGCCTTATGACCTAGCCTTGGAAGGACGTTATGCTGTGTCATTTCCGTCACATTTTCTGAGAAGCGAAGCATTAGGGCCAGCTCATGGTCATGGGGAGAAAAATTAGACTCCACTTCTTGATTGAATTTTTGGCCATGTTTTTTTAACTACTGCATTTTCCTCCTCTAAAATGCTTGCCTAAATTAACGCAGACATGAAGCTTGGAGTGGGACACATCCGAGGTCATTCAGCCCTTAAATGGTTCCACCAATATTAGATCCAATTTTGTGATACCCGCCTTCATGCACCTCCCAGGATCCCAGAAAATGCCGTGTGATTAGCACACGGAACATGGTAGGCAAGACATGCTAGCCCCCAAACAGCGCCAATCCTCATTGCCTTGGAAAACACACTTACATTTATTTTGCAGGAAAAATATTAGCCAGAAAGCAGTCATCCATGAGCACTTTCCAAGTTTCTCCCAAACATCTGTTTTTAAATATTACCCCCCAACAGATATATTCATTTACATTTCCCCCAGATGAGTCATCTTTTCTTTTGTTGTTATTTTTTGACTGTATTTCTCACCTCTTAAGATCCTTCGGTATTAATTCTCAAACCCACCACTTAGGTTAATAGCATCTCCTGATTTGGAACCTTCCCTTACTTCTATCATCATGAACACTTGCTCTTCCTTTGGGCCACTAAATGTAATGTTCTTTAAGCAGATGGTCTGAGGGGCACCTGGGTGGCTCAGTTGGTCAAGCATCCCACTCTTGGTTTTGGCTCAGGTCATAATTTCAGGGTGGTGAGATTGAGCCACACCTTGGGCTCCTGCTCAGCAATGAGTCTGCTGGAGATTTTCAATCCCTCCCCTTCCCCCTCTGCCCCTCCCCTGCTCTTGTGTGTCTGTGCCCTCTCTCTCTCTCTATGTCTAAAATAAATAAAATAAAATCTTAAAAAAAAAGAGGACAGTCTGATATAAGGTCTGAGGGGCATTCTTTTTTTCTTTTTTTTTTTGGCAGTAGGGCAACATTTCTACAGTTCAAACTTCTGTTGACCCAAAGCGAGTTTAAACCTCATTTTAGAAAATCTGGGTTATTTGAACAGTGATATAACTCTGAAATCTCAGAGGGCTCACATAGTGCCTACAATTCTAAGCAGTAAGGTAGATTTCCCTGTAGGAACTTTTCTGTTTGGGGATCTCCAGGAGTCCCTATGGGAAACCATCTTTTCTGTTTCCCAGACCCAAAGCATTGGTGGGAGCACGGGGTAAGAAGAAGAGAGAGTGGATCAAGTCTCCAGGAGGTATGGGGTCTCTGTGTAGACTAGCACGCTCTTCAGAGACATAATGCAAGCCCCAAAGGTAGTGTTATATTTTCTAGTAGCTGCGTTTTATAAAGTAAAAGGTGAAATTAATTTTAATAATAGATTTTATTTAACTCAGTGTATCCAAAATGCTATTATCTGAACATGTAGTTATTACAAAAATATTCACGAGATACTTTTCATTCTTATTTCTAAGAATTTTTTTTTAAAGATTTTATTTATTTGACAGAGAGAGACACAGTGAGAGAGGGAACACAAGGGGGGGGGGAGTGGGAGAGGGAGAAGCAGGCTTCCTGTGGAGCAGGGAGCCCTATGCGGGGCTTGATCCCAGGACCCTGGGATCATGACCTGAGCGGAAGGCAGACGCTTAACGACTGAGCCACCCAGGCGCCCCTCATTCTTATTTCTATACCAAGTCTTGGAATTCCACGTGCATTTCACACTTCTAGAACACTTGGAGACTATCCACGTTTCAAGTCATCAATAGCCAATACTTATTGAAGAGCACACATAAACCCTTCCTTTCTGTTGCTCATTGGTCCTCTGAGACCTCAATCTTTTCTTCTCTTTTGCATACCTTCTTATCTTTCAGATCTCAGCTCAAAACACCTGCTCTGGAGAGGAAAGGCAAGTAATGCGACCCACTCCCTCCCTCCCTTCTCTATCCCGTTCTTCTGTGTTACTGTCTCCATAGAACTGATTTCTTCTAAAATGGTCTTATTCGTTTGCTTACATATTTCTTTTCTAGCTTCTCCACCAGAATGTAAGTTTCACCAGGGCAGGGATTTTTAAAAATCTATTTTGGTCTCCAAGTTCCCGGTGCCGAGCACCGTGCCTGGCACACGCCGGGCGCTCAGTACACATTGGGGACTAAGGAATCGCATTTCTCTGGAACGCGGCCGAAGGGGGCAGCCGAGTGGCGTGCACAGGTGGGGCGCCCACGACGCGCGCGGCTGCGCTCCCTCGGCTCCAGGGTGGGTGTGGGTGAGTGGGTGTGTGCGGGGGTGTGCGCGGTAGAGCGCGCCAGCGAGCCGGGAGCGCCGAGCGGGGAGGAGCAGTCAGCGCCGCGCAGAACCCGCAGCGCGGGCCGGGCCGGGCAGCTCGGAGGTGGGTGGGCCGTGCCGCCAGCCCGCCCGCGGGGTCCCCATTGGCCGCCTGCCGGCCGCCCTCCGCCAGGAAGGCGGCGAGGAGCCGAGGGGCTGCTCCCGAGCCGGAGGGGGGAGAGCCCGACCGAGCCGACGCCTGGGCGGACGTGTGGGATCCGCGTCCCCCATTCGCCCCCTCCCAGCGCACCCGCCGCCGCCCGGCTCGTCTCCGGCGCTGGCGCCCACGGTCGGCCTCCGACAGCTCCGGAGGGACCCGGGCAGCTCCCGGGCGCCCGGGTGAGTGGCCGCGCGCGCTCCCCGGCTTCTCCCGGGCCCCGCCGCCTGCTTTTGCTTTCGCGGCCGCGGCCAGGGCAAGCGGGAAGGCCGAGGCGGGGGCGGCTGGACTGTGGGGAGAAGTGGGGTCGCAGCCAGGAGGCTCCCTCTGCCCCGCGGGCCGGGTGGGAACAGGTGGCGCGGGCCGGGCCGGGCGCTTTGTGTCGGGGCGCGGAGACCGGGAGCGGGCGGCCGCGCCTCCCTCGGCCGCTCCCTTTCCTCCCCTGCTCCCCCGGGCGGCCGTACGCCGGGTCGGCCGGGTAACGGAGCGGGAGTCGCCAGGAATGTGCCTTTGGGGACTGCCTGGCTCGGGGGAGGGGGTGGTCACGGTGGCCGCGGTGGCCGGGGAGTGCGGGAGCCGAGAGGTGGCGCGGGGGCCGCCGTGCCGCCGCAGGCTGGAGGGGGATGCTTCCAGCGAGGCGCGTTTCGCCCGGGCGAGGGCTTCATTCTTCCGCGGCGCCCCCGGAGGTGGGGAGCTGGGTGGGCGTGTGTGTGGAGGAAGGGGAGGCGGGGAGGCCAGTCACTTCCGGAGCCGGTTCTGATCCGCTCGGAGCGCAGTGCTTTTGGGGACGCGGACCTTGGGGTGCGGTTGTGCCCGGCCCCACGCGCGCGCGGGTTGATGCGGGGCTGGGGATGTCCCTGGCGCGGGTTTAACAAAGGGTGCGCCTCTCCACCCGGCGGGGAGGGGCAGCTGGGGAGAGGGGGTCTTCGGCGAGCGGCTCTTAGCTGAGGAGGACTCCTTCCTTTTCGGGTTGTCATTTTATTATTATTGTTGCTATTATTTTAAAGGACTGGAGACTGATGCATGAGGGGCCCAAGGAGGCGCAGGAGCGGTGGTGATGGTGTGGGAAGCGGAGCTGAAGTGCGCTGGGCTTTGGTGAGGAGTGACAGTTTATCATGACTGTGTTCAAGCAGGAAAACGTGGATGATTACTACGACACCGGCGAGGAACTTGGCAGGTACAGGGGGTGCCGGAAGCGCATGCTACTGGGTTGTGGGAATGCATAATATTGGGGGCAGTGGGCGGTAAATAAATGCAGTTTGAATCAGGAGGCTCCCTCTCCCTTCCAAGAGATGTGCAAATTATAGAGAAAAGAGTTACTAATCCAGCACGGGCTGGGGTCCAGAAATAAACCACCTAATCCAAGGGGCTATGATAAGCAATTTCAGTGTTAGATTATGTTGCAAAGGGTATTGAACAAGAGCTCTGGACAGGAACAGATTTAATTGTCTGCAGTAATTCTTGTCAGCTTTTGCCGTTCGGAGATGAGGCAAAAGCTAAGATATATTTGCATCTGGTGTTAGATCTTCTATGTGGTTTAAGCAGAGTACAAACTAATTAGTAGGCTTTTAAAATCTTAATACTTTCTTTCTGAATTTTCAGAGTAACGTGAGCAAGTATTGGTAGCATGCTTGTCAGATGTTGTTGTTGGGTTTGGATTTTGAAACTTCCTCCAGCCAGGGATTTAATTACCCAGTTGGTGTTAGTGGTTGCTTTGGTTTCGTTTACCATGTTAAATTTTTAACAAATAAATGATTGAGAGTCTAATACGGCTATCTGGATCCAGAGCATACTTCCACTACTGTGGGAGCTGTGACTCTGAGTGCAAAGTTGTTCAGTTTCTAGGCGAACAAAGAATGATTATTTTGAGGCGTCTCAGTACTGGCTCAGTTTCCCCTTGACTGGTATTTGACAGGATGTGTTGAGCTCTGGTCTAAGTAGCACAAAGCCCAGTTTTCACACCTAAATTTAGATTCAAAGTAAGAATTTGATTTTAGTGGATTTGTATTGGGTAAAGGATCTTGAAACAAAGAGAAAGTGTCTATTTACTTACACCTGTATCAAAATATGTATTTTTCCATATTCACCTGATGTCCTGATCCTAAGCTTTTTTTTTTTAATTAGGAGGGAATTCAAAAGCACCCTAGGTTACCTAATGGGAATTTCCAGTGTGGAGCTTAACAAAAATTTTTTACAAGTTCCAGTAAGAGTGGGGAATAAAAGCCATTTTTAAAAGGTTACTGTAAGAGAGTATTTCTGTATGTGTTTAGTATCAACTCAGGACATCACTGAGAGAATGCACTTAGGAGGAGCTTATGCTATATTATTGGAGATTTCCTGAGGGAATAATGAAGAAGGAAAGCTCTCAAAAATCATACTTCATGGATATGTTTAAGATTAAGGTTTAAGGGTATGTGGTTGAAGTACTTGGTTTAACTAGAAATAAATCACTTTATTCCTGTGGTTTTCAGCAAGACGAGTGGTATATGAAGTTTTCCTTTGAGTTTCCCTACTGGTAAAAAAAGGTGAAAAAATGTATTTTAATTCCATTTGTGTAGTGTGGCCTGATTATATAAATTCTCTTAGAAAGAGGGGTGATTAAAATTAGGTGAGCCGATTGTTTTATGGATTAAGTATATGACCTTATTTTCAGTAAGATCTTTTGGTAAAATTGTGTGTTATGAGAAAGAAAAAAAACAAAGCCTCCCTGAGGCTGGTGGGGGAGTTTGTGATCTTTACTCCGTGGGCGAGATGACAGGCCCTCTGCCTCTGAGCTGAGAGGTGGCTTGCTCAGTTCTCGCTACATTTAGCTTTGATTTTTGTCTTGGTCTCTGTTTCTGTGTAGAACTTTCTCCCCACTGTGCAAGACTAATTGACACCTGGTTGATGGGCTGATTTAATTTGTGTGACCTATGGATTTGAGAGAAGGGCTCTGAAAACTGGGAGTTGGGGGTTTTTAAAATAAAGTATATATGCCCATCCATCTGATATAGCTGCTTTTGCTTTGCCTAAAAATGGGGAAAATGGTTGATTTGAGGGGGAAGTTTTTTTCCCAAGCCGTGTGATTTTTACATCTGCCTGGGAAATAGCCACTTCCTGAAAACAAGTCCTGACCTAAGATAGATATGAAGGAAAGAGGCTGCTTCATGTGTCACAGAAATGGAAATGGGCAGATAATTGAGCACAAATGCAAGGCCCTTGTAAGTAGTGAGTTATACACAGACCAGTGTGAACATGCTACAGTTGACCTGCATGTCTTTAGGAGTCATCTAAATAATAGGTACTCGTTTAACTTATGCATATGCTGAGACCAAGTCCATAGCCAGAGGAGGGGAGATGGGTGCACTCAGTATTATTACTATTATTACTTTACTTTTAGGAAAATAGAGTACATATGTATGAGTGCTTGTGTGTGTTAGTGTGTGTCTGTTCTGTGTACTGCCCAGGACTGCTGTAAAAGCTCTCTGTCCCTGTAAAGAACTTCATAAAGTATTCTGATTATTGCAGTAGTGATCCAGCAGACAGACCACTGGACAGACATCCTGGTTCAAAACCTGGCTCTGCAACTTGCTAATCACCTTGAATAAGTCCCTCACCCTCTCTGACTCTCAGGATCTTCATTTTTAAAGCAAGGGGCTTAGGGGTGCCTGGCTGGCTCAGTCAAAAGAGCAAGTGACTCTTGTTCTCAGGGTCATGAGTTTGAGCCCCATGTTGGGTATAGAGATTACTTAAATAAATGATAAATAAAGACTTAAAAAAAATAGAGAGGCTTAATGCTTATGTCATAGCTGTTGTGAAAATCACATAATCTAACACATGTAAAAGTATTTTAATCAGCAGTAAAGAGTTAAACCAGTGCAGATATTATCTGCAGGACTGACTGAGACATGTGGGTGTTCCAGCCAGGCTAATAATTTGGCCTGCAAGTCAATTTTTGTTCAGATATCTGTTTACCAGTTTTGGGGAAGGGAGGCCTTCTGGGAAAAGGGTCATGCATGGGGGAGGCACGTTGATGTTGCCCTTGGCCTCCCCACTCTGAGTCTGAATAAAGCAGCTCTGAACTAGACCATGAACCCGTTGTGAGCAGCCACCCCTCCCTTTAAAAGACTGTTTGGTGACCTTTTGTGTTGACTCTGGGAGGCCCTCTGGGGTCTCACTGTCCATCTCAGGAGGTGGAACAAAGCCCTCTTTCCATCCCATGGAGTGTTTCTGGGAGGGATTCTTATGCGTGCAGATTTCTCCATCTGCCATTATATCTGGGTCATTTTTAATGCCCCGGGATGCCTTAGACACTCTTATCAGTGGGAGCTTGGGAGGCTGCATGCTGGCTTGTCCCACCATCGGGCTCCCCTTATGTGGTTGGCCGTGGTGCAGCCTAACCTGTGAGCCTTCTGGACATCTCTCTGAGCACCACTTTCCTGGGGAACTGGTCTCCTTTCCTCTCCCGCTGTCTCACTTTACATGATCTTAAGACCCAGGTCCTACCTCCTGAAGAAATTCCCTCCACAGTGATTTCTCCCTTCAGACTTGCTGTCTTGAAGCACTCTACTCTGTTGGAACATGACCGCAGACTGCATCATGCCATGCCGTGTCCTTGCTTTGTGCTGTCATTATTCTTGTATTGCTTTTTTTTTTTTTTTTTTTAAGATTTTACCCATCCATTTGACAGAGAGAGACAGCCAGAGAGAGAACACAAGCAGGGGGAGTGGGAGAGAGAGAAGCAGGCTTCCCGCCCAGCAGGGAGCCCGATGCGGGGCTCAATCCCAGGACCCTGGGATCATGACCTGAGCCGAAGGCAGATGCCCAATGACTGAGCCACCCAGGCACCCCTCTTGTGTTGCTTCTTGTAGCCTGCTTGAGCATTCCTTCTGGTGAGCTCCATGGTCTTTTCTCCCCAGGGCATGCAGTGTGCCCTGTCACACCAGGAGAAAATTCCGTCAGTGCTTGGGCAAGCTAATGCAGGTTGGCAGGTGCAATATTGGGACCAGCATGGGGATTTAAGACCTAAATGATGATGTGGATGCTGATGCTGATAGAGAGGCAATGTGTGGTGTGAGGCAGCGTCGGTACACTCACTTGGAAAGTGGGGAGACACCGACCTTTATAGGGTGTTGTGGGAATGAGAGAGCATGGCTGTAACCACCTGACACGCTGTCACTGCTTAAGGTATTATTTTTAATAACCTGTTGTCCCCTTCCCACCGTTTACCACATTGTAGAGTCATTGTTTATTTGATTACCTGCTTTCCTCACAGGTTGTCACAAGGCTGTGACCTTGGACTTGCTCATCAGTTTGTATCTCTAAAGCCACTTAGGTACTTGTTGGTAGAGGCTCAATAAATGCTCGCTGATTGGATGAGTATATTGATATATGTAAAGCACCGTGAACACACACACACGCTTGTACGTACATACGGCCCCCAGTGAGTGATGACCCTGGTGGAGATGAGCTTGGGATGTTAAGGGCTGCAGCTTGTAAGAGTAAAAACTGCTTTTCCTTTTGTGTTCTCTGTGACTGGACAGTTACATGCACAGTAGCCAAAATGTCCAAGCACAAGATCAGCTTTAAACAAAACAAAGTGGAGCATTAGATAATTTACATCAGTTCAGATGGTGGCTGGAAGCTTAATCATTCAAATTTAAAACTTTCTCATTCTGGCATACAATCCATAGGCATTTTAACTGAAGTAAGGCTTTGTCCTAAACTCCAAGAGTCAGCGTACATCTTTCATTTGGTTTACTGCGGACCACAGAGTGGTTCCTAAGAATTAGGGCAATCCTATGTGGGTGGAAAGAGGAAAGACTTCTTGGCCTGTTTTCCCTTTAGAGGGAGAATCACAGGCCCACCTGGATGACTAGTGAGATCATCCTGTAGGACGGCGCTGAATGTGATTTTTTTAATTTGCATTTATGCTTCTGTGTTCCCTCAGATGTTTCGTCTGATAGGAGAGGCTGCAAAGTTTTAAGAGAGATAAGGTTCAAATATACATATTAAAGGTGATGTTCAGTGATTTGTTTTTATTAAAATGTAGTCGACACACAATGTTAGGTTAATTTCAGGTGTACAGCATAGTGATTGACAGCTCTATGACTGATGGTATGCCCACAGTGTGGCTGCCCTCTGTCACCATGTACAACACTATTATTGTTGACTTTGTTCTGCATTCAGTGATTTTGA